ACTTTTCCATACTTCTTTAAAAATGTCCAATTTTATTTCCAAGGAATGTAAAAGAGGAATAAAAATTTCCATTTCTCTTTCACTAATTTTTTTTTTCTGTAGATCTTACAAAATAAATAAACTTTGTTCTTATTACAGCGTCAAATAGTATTCTTGTACGAATAAAAACGTATAGAATACCGCGCAGAATCACTTTGGCTGAATAAGCTTTATAATGCTCAGGAGATTTCAGGTTTTGAATGTAGATAGAGTTCAAAGTAAACTTTCATTAGGAAGCAATCTTAAATTTCATAATCGTGGTACAAAATTTGATGATTTTAGAAAATATCAAGATGTATGGCATCTCATGTTCGTTATTTTACAAACATGAACTCACTATTGTATTCTCTCTCTTTCTTTCGCTCTCTTTTTTCTCTCTATCCTATTATTGTATAAAATAATATTATTAACAGTTAGCACGTTCTTGCGGTGCTGTTAACAACATTTTTTCCTATGCTGTTTTGTATTTTTTCTCAAATTAACTGTTTCATTCGTTTGTATAGCTTGACGCTCATTCCGTTCTCTTTTGGTCCGTAATACTTGCCGTGTTATTGCCATAAACATCTAGAAAAAGGACATATATATTGCATAGTTTTATATTGACATATAAAATAAATAAAATGATAAAATATATCGTTAGCTTAACAAAATGAACGATACCTCTTCAACATTGATATTATTCTTGGCAGATGTTTCAAATAGTTGAATTCCCATCTGATTGGCAAACCTTTGTGCATCTTCCGTAAGCACTACTTTCTGATTAGGCGCATCGTTCTTATTTCCTACAAGTACCCTGTTAACAACGTCACAATTTTCCTCTATTTCGTGCAACCACCGTTTAACATTTGCAAATGAGTCACCACTGGTCACATCGTATACAACTATAACGCCATGAGTTCCCCTGTAGTAAGTTGAAGTTATTGTCCGAAATCGTTCTTGTCCAGCAGTATCCCAAATTTGCAACTTTACTCTCTCACCGTCTATTTCTACAGTTTGTATTTTAAAGTCCACTCCTATTGTAGTTATATAACTGCCATTAAAAGTATTGTCTGCAAATCTCAGGAGAAGGGAACTCTTACCTACTCCTTCAAACAAAAAGAAAACGTACGCATTATTGAAGGAGATTCTAATTATTTTATCTCAATAAAAATAAAAAATACATAATAATAAATTACAATCAATCAATTCTCTTGACAATTGCAACAATTGTACGATTATGCAAGTGCATACTATTTTAATGAAGGGTAACATAATATCATGGATACATGTAATCATATGTAATGATATACTCTATATTAATAAAAAATGGCATTGACTTTACACTATCATCTTAAGCATGAATCAATTAATAACATACTGCATAAAGAATAACCCATTGAAATCCCAATAATTCGTTTACTTTACAATTATTTCATATAAATATATTTCATATATTTAAACTTCTTCAATTTAATAAAAAAACAAAGATAATTGAATACTTATAATTTAAAAAAAAAAAAATAGTCTATAAATTTTATATAAATCCAAAGCTACATGTTTTATTAATTTTGAATCAATATTAATACCGTATATTGTAATATTATTTATTGAGTTATTTTTTCGTTCGTAAGAGCAATAAGTTTGTAATATTTGATCAACTGTGAATCATATATATATATATATATATATATATATATATATATATATCTCTCTCTCTTATATTATCAAGTGCTATAAAATTGCTATATATATATATATATATATATATATATATATAAGTATATTTACCACTATCTCCTATCATCAACAGCTTAAATAAATGGTCATATTCCCGGGCCATTTTAACATTTATGAGATGCACTATATTATCGAAACTACAGCTTTGAAATGTTAAAACAACACGATATCTACACCACAAGAATTAACTATTGACAGGCCGACGTAACAAAATGAACACTTTCTCTCTATAAATTTCGATGAAACCTGTCGTTTCTTAAAGGTAAACGATTTTAACATTAATTGATCGCCATATTTATTTGCCGCGATATCAGTATTCATTATCACTATTGAGAAAAAAAGAGCTATATTCGTTTAAAATGACGCCCATCCCATATCAAGTTGTCAGCAACATGTCGCTACCGCCATATTACCATAGACTATAGAACATAACCAAGCACAGAGAAAAGAGTTTTTCATTTAAAAAACTTAAAGCGCGTTTGTTTTAACCAATACGTCCTGAGTACGATTGACCAATCATTACGTTGTGAAATACGAGGATGTGTTGAAAAAATTTAAGCCTATTCTTTTTGAAAATGTTTTTAACTACATAGAAATATAAAAGTGAATTTTTTTGAACCAGAAAAAAAATGATTCCTAACATATATTAATAACATACATTTAATCTCTTAACAACTGTACGGCAATATAGTAGTTTTCGTATATGTCATCTTTATGAACGATATGCCAAATGTGATTGTATATGTGATTATTGTATTTATTGTACCGTGATTAATGTATATAATATTATTAATTTTCATAAATTCATGTAGTTTAAATTTGATAGTTTTACAAATATTTATTACAATGATTAATTTCAATTATATTCACTTTTCTGAATTTGATTGTATATAAAAAGGATATTTTATTATTATGCTCATGATTCTTTTATATTACATATCATTTGTAATAATTATGTCTATAACATAAATCCATAACAGAAATCTATGTAAATAAAATATATTCAATAATCGTTAAATTAAAATTTACACAATATAATTCATTGTACTTTCTCATAACTGATATGACTTTAGAATATAAAAAATATTAGTTTGATAACAAAGGTTATTATACTGTTTACTTTCTTAGAACAATAGATGTTATACATTCTTTCTATCATTGTTATATGTATATCCTATTTATCTATAATCGTTAGAACGGAGTATATATATATATATATTATAGTATAGCTTGAATGCTTTTGTTTTTATATTTAGAATGTGATTCAATAAAAAATAAAGTCATATACCAGCAAAAAATTTTTTAATCGTGATTGCATAGTTTGATACAGATTCTTATAGATAAATATGAGCATAAGTTTAAAAACAATTTTTATTAGTATCTCATGCACGTATATCAGCATATAATTGGAATAAATATAACGGATAATCAATGTGCATCTTACGTAGATACTGCAAAGATATACATATACAAAGCATTTATGACGTATTTTAATACGAATGTAAAAACAAAATAAATGGTTTATCATATTGTTCCTATGCTTAGATAGATTTATATATAAAAATGCAGAGGAACGCTTCTTCAGCACTCGCAAACCCTCATTAATTCCTAATATATTCTCATTTCGTACAGTTGCATGCAAGAAGTATTATTTAAGTTGATTCACTTTCTCTTTGTATAACATATTTGCATGTGTATATGCATGGTAGGTATACGCGCATTCGTCATCACGTATGCGTTCATTGGCATATGTTAACATGCATAAAGATATCACCTTGGTCCTAGAAGGACTAATGTCATGTTACTATAAACATTTGTTCTATATTATACGACATAGATTATACAATAATGATGTTAAAAGAATTTATTTTCATATTCTAATCACCAATAGTCTCTTGAACAACTACATAGGACCTTCTATTAGACTGATTTTCATAGTGCAATAATAAATACTGCGTCCGAGGCAAAAAAGAGCTAATAAAAACGCACCTATAAACGAATAAAAAAATATTACTCTTTAAAGTAAACAAGTTCGAAACATTTTTAAATAATATTACTTAAAAATACGTGTTTTAATATATAGAATTCATTAAACTCACCAACATAAGCTACATAAATTCCTCCATTAGTTTTTACAAATGCATATGTTCCGACCTAAAAATAAGCTCCATATTGTTTAATGAACATTTGAAAATGTCACTTTTGAAAATTTATATTTGCTTTTATTTTCTATTTTCACTTATTATAACTAATATATGATTATATGAAACTTACCGTTACAGCAATCGCAATTACTAAAGCTATAATGCCAACAATAATAAATGCAATACCGCGACCTCTAGCAAAATCTGGACCAACAGAAGATATTTTACGACAATGTGGACACCGTGCTAAAGCATTATTCAATGTGTTAAACTGTAACAAATATCAACAATTTAATAAAACATAAAAATATATGAAATATTATCTATTGTAAATAATTATTGATTTCTTACAAGAAATGTATCATGGCAATGAGCACAGCATACTCTGCACATTCCTGGCATTGAAAGAACCGGAGGTGTTATAGGACTTGGAGCAAGATTGATAATACGCTTACAATTTGGCCTTGGACAAGCAATGCGTTGCGAAGAACTTTTACATATTAAAAGACAATTACATGGACATCGTACATATTTTTTACCTGGGGGTGCATTTTTTATAGGCTGTAATAAATATAAAAGTGTAACATTTTCGTTTTTTATAAACTTTGAATTTAAATTCATTGTCAACATACCGTTGCTTCATTACATTGACAACATTTAACAACATGTTGTTCTCTCTTGCCAGTAATATCTATCATAGCTTGACATACCCTACAAGTAACCATTGGCTTACCACCCTGATCAGCTGGTTCATATGGCGGAGGTAATTCATCTGGACCTATTGGAGATACTGTACTAACTGTTGAATCTGGTTCAACTGAAATAAGATAAATGAATAAATTAATTGGCAGAATAGATCTTCTTTTATTAATAATATGACTTGAATTTTTTCAAAGCTATTATTATTAACCCATTAGGTCGCTACCATTTGAACTGTATGTGACATTTTCATTTTTCAAAAGAGGTTGTCGTTCACTTTCCTTGCCGTCACCCATAATTTCCTAATATAATTATTCTTCTTTAAACGTTAATTAATTAAACGACTTTTGACAGTACTCCCGGTAAACCAATGACAAGATGACAAAATACAAATTTTTCTGACACTTCTCGTAGTTCCATCAGATTCTAGACGGGGAACTCTTTCTTCTAACAACTGTAGCTTATTATTACAATTCCTTGCCTCCTATTTGAACATAGTTATTTAACAAAACCAATCACTATCGTTTATGACGACATTTAACCAACCAGAGCAGAGCGTTCTAATATAAATATTTTAAAAAACAAATGAGTTCCTCTTAACCCTTTAAATGACGTAACGCAAGAAACCATGGCAGACGAATATTAGAACTTTCCGAATGGTTAAATTTCCGTCAATGTTGGCCACACTGATATTCATTGTCAGTAAATGTAATTTAAGACTGTTCATTACTCAGGTTTTTATAATGATTTACGTAACTAATAAATTCAAACGTAATTCATAACGGTATTTTATAAACAAAATCTTATTTTAAAAATAAAGATTTAGATGACGAGATGACTTTGTCGAAATGTTTTAAAACTTGATTTTCTTTGAAAAGTATCCTATGGAAAAATATTCTCCTTTAGGGGATAGTCAATGCATAAGAATGAAATTTTTACAAAAGTTCGAAATAGTCGTTAGTTGTTTAGGCTTTCATCTTTAGAATGAAACTTTGTTTATTAAAATAGGTCAAAAATTACGCTTAAATACAACATTTGGTGTTTAGAATACGAGTTTTGTACAGTGGCGCCCCTTAATGTCTGACGTAAAAGAAACGAAGCTCCTACTACCGCTACAAATTTAAGATAAATACTTGAGTAAAGTGTGTAACACAAATATTTTAAATCTTTGATATATCTTACGAATATTAACAAGAAAAAAATATAATAATTATTAAAACAATTATTAAAGCATGTAATATATCTCGTCTAACGCAGCGACGTAAACATCGATACCTTCTTTATCGTACATGTAAGCTCAATGCTATATATAGTAAATACATTTTTTAATTATATGTTCATCCTAATAATGTAAAACGTTTATGCACATATATCATTGCTTACAATCATAATTATAATCTTAAACTTTCTTTATTAGGCGTATTATTCCCTTTATAAACATGCGCAATGTTCGAAAAATCATATAAACAACTTTTAATAAAAGTACTTTCCTAGATGACAACGTGCCAGTTTGAAGGAGAATTTCGAGGAAGACAGTACACAGAACATATTCTCCAAACTTTTAGACAACAATAGACACTTCTATCGATTATTTAACAATTATTTTAATATTTTAATACACTCTTTTTATATTTCAGATTGTTTAAACATATATGTACTAGTATAAGCATTACATACCTATTAACATACTTTAAATATTAAATGATTTCGATGTGATATTCTCTTCGATGAAAATTTCCCCCTCCGATAACATCATTACACAGGGACGTTAAAACAAATGTACATTTGTTTAAACAATTACAAAAAAATGCTTTAATCAGAACGTTATGATTTAAATTTCTCTTTATTACAAATAATATTTTCGTTACACACATGCGCAA